CCGCCTCGGCCTCCCAAAGTGCTGGAGTACAGGCTGAGCCACCGCGCCGGCCTAGTAGATTCTTAAAGCCAGCAATCTAGTATGCTGATAGCAATGAAAACTAGGAAGCATTTTCAGACTTCCATAAGTCTACTAATGTTTCTTCTGCCTCCCTTCCTACCTGGCTGATGTCTTATCACTCTGTCTGAAAGGTATACCGCAAATATTTTTACCTTTTGTCTATTCCCACACCATTCTTCACTCTCCTCTTAGAACTGTCCGCCCCCCAAATTAGTTCTGTGTTCTGTGTTTTTAGTGTTGTGTTCATAACTCCGAAAACATTGATCATAAAATATTAAAATCATTAGTAATTGATACTGTCCTGGTTAGATTGTGACTAGAGTCTTGACATTAAGTACCGATTATCATCCCTTATATCTAACATTCCTTGGCACACAGTGAATTCTAGAAGAATTTTAATCAATGAAGTTAAGGATAGCATTGTGGATGAGCTATATTTTATCACTAAAATGATTAATGTAATAATGAAGTAAGCCTGTTATTTTTGGTACTGTCTATTTAAAATATGGAAAGTTTATAGTACATTAAATTTTGAATTTTGGTTTTTTTTTTTGAGACAAGTGTCACTCTGTCATCCAGACTGCAGTGCAGTGGCACAATCTTGGCTCAACTGCAATTTCCACACATCCTGGGTTCAAGCAATTCTCATGTCTTAGCCTTCAGAGTAGCTGGAATTACTACAAGCACGGTGCCTACCACACCCAGCTGATTTTGTTTTTAGTAGAGACAGGGTTTCGCCATATTGGCCAGGCTGGTCTAGAACTTCTGACCACAAATGATCCTCCCACCTCAGCCTCCCAGGTGCTGGGATTACAGGTGTAAACCACTGTGCCCAGCTGAAAATATTAAAGCGTTAATGTTAATTTCAGGGTTAGTTCATCTTGAAAACTATCCTCAGATACAGATATACTGAGGATTCTAGGTAACCAGGTATAGTGATTATTATTATTATTTGAGATGGTGTCTTGCTCTGTCTCCTAGGCTAGAGTGCAGTGGCATGACCTCAGCTCACTACAACCTCTGCCTCCCAAGTTCAAGCAATTCTACTGCCTCAGCCTCCCGAGTAACTGGAATTACAGACATCCACTACCATGCTCGGCTAATTTTTGTATTTTTAGTAGAGACTGAGTTTCACCATGTTAGCCAGGCTGGTCTCAAAACTCCTGACAGGTGATCCGCCCACCTTGGCATCCCAAAGTTCTGGGATTAAAAACATGAGCCACCACACCCAGCTACTAGGTATATTGATATTTTCTACAGTGGCAGTTCTCAAACTTTCTGGTCTGAGGACTTCTTAAATACTTAAAAATTATTGAAGACCTGGCTGGGCGTGGTGGCTTATGCCTGTAATCCCAGCATGTTGGGAGGCCAAGGCAGGTGGATCACAAGTTCGAATCCATCCTGGCCAACACGGTGAAACGCTGTTTCTACTAAAAATACAAAATCAGCTGGGTGTGGTGGCATGTGCCTCTAATCCCAGCTACTCGGGAGGCTGAAGCATTAGAATTGCTTGAACCCAGGAGGTGGAGGTTGCAGTGAGCTGAGATCGTGCCGCTGTAGTCCAGCCTGGCGACAGAGCGAGACTCTTGTCTCAAAAAAAAAAATTTATTGAAGACCCGAAGCTTTGGTTATGTAATATGTATGAATATTAAACTATATCAAAAATTAAATGACTTTTTAAATGAAAAATAGTCATATTTTTAAAAATTGGTAAGAGTGTCATTGTTTTATCAGTTTTGCAAATCACCTAACATCTAGCTGGATTTTTATGTCTGCTTCTGCCTTAACTTTATTGCAAAATGTATTGTTTGAAGTCTGAAGAAAATCTGGCCTCACAAATACATGATTGGAGAAGGGGAGAGTGTTTAGCCTTTCAGATAAGTGTGGATGTTCCTTGATATTACAACCAAAAATCAAGTGGTAGTTTCTTTTTTTTTTTTTTTTTTTTTTTTGAGGAGGAGTTTCGCTCTTGTTACCCAGGCTGGAGTGCAATGGCGCGATCTCGGCTCACCGCAACCTCCGCCTCCTGGGTTCAGACAATTCTCCTGCCTCAGCCTCCTGAGTAGCTGGGATTACAGGCACGCGCCACCATGCCCAGCTAATTTTTTGTATTTTTAATAGAGACGGGGTTTCACCATGTGGACCACGATGGTCTCGATCTCTTGACCTCGTGATCCACCCGCCTCGGCCTCCCAAAGTGCTGGGATTACAGGCGTGAGCCACCGCGCCCGGCCAAGTGGTAGTTTCTTAAAGGCTAGTTGCAATGTGGAATCCAACATTTTGTGCAATGTGGCTCAGTTAACTTTTTGCACTCTTATGTTAAAATTCGTTAATCTGTCTTGTACTTTGAATGAATCTTTTACCCATGAATGATTTCTGTAATATGCTATTGTCATTTGGAAAATATTGGTTCATTGAGTACTGCAAATCTTTCAAATGTGGACATATTTTGTTATGCAGTATCTTTTAAATCACCACTAATCTCAGAAAAGTTTTTAAGTTTTGGGAATCAATCAAGTTGAAGTTGGAAGATACAAGTTTTCCAAAATTCTAATTATCACTTGAAAGCCAAAATTTTATCATTAGTGACAAATAACTGTCAGTCATTTTATTTGAAGTGACAGCCTCATTTTTTTCATTTTCAAGAAAATATCTGCAGATACCCACTTCTGGATAATAGTTTGTCTTTATTTGTTTTTGTTTTTTTGAGATGGAGTTTCGCTCTGGTTACCCAGGCTGGAGTGCAATGGCGCAACCTCGGCTCACCACAACCTCTGCCTGCTGGGTTCAGGCAATTCTCCTGCCTCAGCCTCCTGAGCAGCTGGGATTACAGGCACGCGCCACCATGCCCAGCTAATTTTTTGCATTTTTAGTAGAGACGGGGTTTCACCATGTTGACCAGGATGGTCTCGATCTCTTGACCTCGTGATCCACCTGCCTCGGCCTCCCAAAGTGCTGGGATTACAGGCTTGAGCCACCACACCCGGCCCTAATAGTTTGTCTTTAAACTATTTACGGTGGACTATTTACAGTACTTTGAAGTAAAAATGTTTTCCGTGAAACAAGTGGCTAATTTATTACAACTCAACATTTCCATATGAGCTTTTCCTTGAGACAACCATCATCCTTTGATGTCCAGAAGTATTTTATGCCTATGTCCCAGTTTGTCAAACAGAATTACTTTTTTCTGGCCCTACCACTTGGCCAAGACAGAATATTTTTAAATTGTACTTAAGGATGAAGTTAAAATAATTTAAAATATTTTGCTCTTTCATTGAGTACATCCTTAAATGAAACTGATACTTTTTTTATTTTTTATTTTTAGCAGTGAATGTGTAGCAGGGAATAACATGAATAATAGTACATTTGGGTGCTGCTGCCTTGATTTCTGCTAAGGCTCTGACAATTTTAGACACTATTGCCTTTTTTCTTTTCCAAATTCATTGAAGTGAAATTAGTATGTTTTTTAAAAACCCATTTCATTGGCATTTAGTATATTCATAATTTGTGTGACTATCACCTCTTTCTTGTTCCAGAGCATTTCCATCACTTGGAAGTAAAACACCTTATACATGAAGCAGTTTCTCCTGATTTCCCTCTCCCTGTAGTGCCTGTCAACCACCAGTATGCATTGTATCTGTAGATGTATCTATTCTGAATATCTCATATAAATGGAATCAAATGTGACTTTTCTGAGACTGGATATTATTACTGTGTTGCTCAGGCTATAGTGCAGTGACTTTTTATGTCTGGTTCTTTGCCTTAACATAGTATTTTCAAGGTCTGTCCATGTTGTACCATGTATCAGCAATTCTTTTTTTTTTTTTTTTTTTTTTTTTTTGAGACGGATTTCGCTCTTGTTATCCAGGCTGGAGTGCAATGGCGCGATCTCGGCTCACCGCAACCTCCGCCTCCTGGGTTCAGGCAATTCTCCTACCTCAGCCTCCCGAGTAGCTGGGATTACAGGCACACGCCACCATGCCCAGCTAAGTTTTTGTATTTTTAATAGAGACGGGGTTTCACCATGTTGACCAGGTTGGTCTCGATCTCTTGACCTCGTGATCCACCCGCCTCGGCCTCCCAAAGTGCTGAGATTACAGGCTTGAGCCACCGCACCCGGCCTAGCACTTAATTCTTTTTGTTAATAGGTGAATAACATTCCACTGTATGTATATAACACAATGTGCTTATACAGTCATTCACTTACTGATGAACATTTGGGCTGTTTTTATCTTTTGACTATTGTGAGTAGTGCTATTTTGAATATACAGGTACATGTGCTTGAGTACCTGTTTTCAGTTTTTTGGGTATATACCAAAGAGTGGGATTGCAGGGTCCTACCATTAGCTTTGCAACATCAGTTGCAAAGTGACGTTGCAAACATCAACACAGCGAAAAGGCAAATAACATTATGAAAATAGTTTTGATCTTGGGGACCTCCCTGGGATTTGAAGACCATACCTTGAGATTCTCTGTCCTGTAGATTCCGGAGTTGCTCATATGAATATGTGATCTCTCATCATCACTTGGTTTTCACTAGCACTACCTAATACAGGCTAGCTCGTCTTCAAAACTGCACTATCAAAGTCAGGCATGGTGGGATTATGTACCTGTAATCCTAGCTACTCAGGAGGCTGAGGCAGGAGAATCTCTTGAGCCCAAGAGTTCAAGGCCAACAACACAGCAGGACCCTGTCTCTTTAAAAAAAAAAAAAAAAAAAACTGCACTATCAGATGTGCCTTATAATCTTTATAATCTATAAGGTATGGATGAGAAAATTAATATTTAGGGAGTATAAATGTGAGAAAACTGGATACCAATTCAGGTTTTCTCATTTCAAGGCTAATGTTCTTACTATATTTTGAGAGATCATTTCGTTTATAAAGATAAAGAAGTTATAATTTAAACTGCTTAATGGTGTCCTTGATATTTATTCTTAGAGACATTTTAAATCCAAAGGATGTGATCAGTGTCCAGCTGGAAGATGCTACCTCTTGCAAAACTTTTTGCAGCCTGTCTTGTCTTTCATCATATGAAGAAAAAAGAAAACCATTTGTTACCATATGTACTAATAGCATTTTGACCAAGTGCAGCATGTGCCAGAAGACTGCTACTGTAAGTTGCAATTATAACCTTTGAAGGGGTTCTGATGATTCTGCTTAAATATCAGAGTTTTTACTGAATCTTTTTATTAAATCCTAGATTCAGTATGAAGTAAAATACCAGAATGTGAATCATAATCTTTGCAGTAATGCCTGCCTTTCAAAGTTTCACTCTGCTAACAACTTCATCATGAACTGCTGTGAGAACTGTGGTGCCTACTGTTACACCAGCTCTAGTCTGTCCCATGTACTTCAGGTGGAAGGACAGTCTCATTATTATAATAGTTCAAAGAGTATTACAGCATATAAGCAGGTATGAATTAAGACTTATTATTTCTTCTATTAACTGGCTTATGAATGGTTCCACTCTAGGAAAATGTGGGAAGTAGTTTTTGGTACCCTTTGAAATAATGTCAGTTGGTAAGTTGATGAAGATGAAATAGAAGACTTTTGACAGTTTCCTCTTGCATAAGAATTCATGATGGGGCAGGGTATGATTAAAAAAAAGAATTCATTATAAATGCTATATAGAGATCTTCCTAAATAATCTCAGATTGATTGTCTTATCTTAAGGAGAGGGCAAGCAGGTTGGAGCCAGTTTATAAACTACAAATAAGTATAGCAAAAACAACGATAGTCTACTGGTCAATAAAACCCAAACACAAAAGTATTTTTGTTTTGTTTTTAATTTATTTATTTTTTGAAACGCAGTCTCACTCTCTTGCCCAAGCTGGAGTGCAGTGGCACAATCTTGGCTCCCTGCAACCTCTGCCTCCTGGGTTCAAGTGATTCTCCTGCCTCAGCCTCCCGAGGAACTGGGATTACAAGCATGAGCCACCATGCCCGGCTTGTTTTTTTGTTTTTTTTGTTTGTTTGTTTGTTTTTTTTGGTGTGTGTGTGACAAGGTCTTGCTCTTCAGGCAGCCTGGAGTGCAGTGGCAGTAGTCATGGCTCACCATAGCCTTGATCTCTTTAGCTCAAGTGATACTCCCACATCAGTGTCCCGAGTAGCTGGGACTACAGGCACATGCCACCACACCTGGCTAGTTTTTAAATTTTTTGTAGAAACAAGCTCTTACTATGTTGTTCAAGCTTGTCTTAAAACTCCCGAACTCAGCTGATTCTGTCTTAGTCTCCTAAGGTGCTGGGATTACAGGTGTGAGCCTAGCCATGTTTTTGTTTTCAATTCCATGTGTTTAACTCTTATACTAAACATTGCAAAAATAAATCAAGAATGTCACATGTGGCTTGGCATGGTGGCTTACACCTGATATCCTAGCACTTTGGGAGACCAAGGTGGGAGATTCAGTTGAGCCAGGAGTTTGGGACCAGCCTGGGCAACATAGCAAGAACCCATCTCTAAAAAGTAAAAAAGAGTATCACATGCTTTTTCTGAATCAGTCATAGGAGGAAATAATCCAGTGAGATTTGGATTATTTGTCCCAGCACTTCAGAAGGCCAAGGCAGGCAGATCACCTAAGGTCAGGAGTTGCAGACCAGCCTGGCCACCATGACAAAACCCTGTCTCTACTAAGAATACAAAATTAGCCAGGTGTGGTGGCGGGGGTCTATAATCCCATCTACTTGGGAGTCTGAGGCAGGAGAGTCACCTGAACCCAGGAGGCGGAGGCTGCAGTGAACCAAGATGGCACCATTGTACTCCACCCTGGGCGACAGAGTGAAACTCTGTCTCAAGAAAAAAAAAAGAAAAAGCAGTTGAAGATGGGAGTCAAAACAAGCCATAATTCAAATAGATCATTTGTGACCCACGTCTTTTCTATGGCAGAATGCCCCGTCTTGAGAATATCCTGCCTTAAGACCAGAAATGGGAAAATGGAAAGCACAGACTTCTCCCAAAGGCAGGAAATAATATTCCTTTTTAAAATTTATTTATTTGTGACACTCAATAAATAGCCCTTGTTCTGTTTTTAAGAGCTTGTATTGAGTACCCAGTTGTTCAGCTTATGTGAAGGGACAGGACTGATTTGGGTACATTGGATAGTTAACAAGTACAGCCTAATGCTTTGCCCTTACATTTGAATGTAAGACATCATGTGACAGTGATAACGGAGTAAATCTATAATGTTAGTGAACTATAGTCCAGAATTAGAAAAATGTCCAAATATGTGAATCTAAAAAAGGGGGTAGCTTTTAATTTTTAAAAAGTAGATATTTTGGCCACATGTTAATAGAGTGTATTGTTAGCCTTCCCTTATGAATAATAAACTAACTTAATTATAAATTACACGACCATTGGGCCGGGCCCGGTGGCCCACGCTTCTAATTCAAGCACTTTGGGAGGCCAAACAGGAGGATCACTTGAGATCAGGAGTTCAAGACCAACCTGGCCAACATGGTGAAATGCCATCTCTACTAAAAATACAAGAATTAGCCAGGCATGGTGGCATATTCCTGTAATCCCAGCTATTCAGGAGGCTGAGATAAGAGAATTGCTTGAACCCCGGAGGTAAAGGTTGCAATGAGCCAAGATCGCACCACTGCACTCCAGCCTAGACAACAAAGCAAGACTGTCTCAAAAATAGTTAAATAAATATTATGCTACTATTGTTGCTTAATGTTAAAGATTAGTGAATTTTTAAGATTTCTCAAAATATTAAAGTTTTTCATACTAATAAAGGATAAAAATAGAAATTTTGTTGTGCCTTTGCCAATATCCTGTTCTCTCACAGAAAAATAAAACATATGTATTTTTTTGTCTTTGGACTTTGTTGTTGTTATTGTTGTTGTTTTTGAGACAAAGTCTTGCTCTATTGCCCAGGCTGGAGTGCAATGGCATGATCTTGGCCCACTGCAACCCCCACCTCCCAGGTTCCAGCTATTCTTCTGCCTCAGCCTCCCGAGTACCTGGGATTACAGGCGCATGTCACCACGCCGGGCTAAGTTTTGTGTTTTTGTAGAAACGGGGTTTCACCATAATGGCCAGGCTGGTCTTGAACTCTAGACCTCAGGTAATCTGGCTGCCTTGGCCTCTTGAAGTGCTGGGATTACAGGCATGAGCCACCACGCCTGGTCTGTCTTTGTACTTTGTATCTCCAAAAGGAGTTTTATTCTACCATTACCATTGGTGATTAATTTTTTTAGACTGAGTCTAGATTGGAGGCTGAGTGCACAGCTCACCGGAGGCCCAACCTCAGGTGTTCAAGCAATCATTCTGCCTCAGCCTCCCATGTAGCTGGGACCACAGGCATGCACTACCACACCTGGTTTATGTTTGTGGTTTTTTTTATAGAGATCGTTCTCACTTTATTGCCCAGGGTGGTCTCGAACTCCTGAGCTCAAGTGATCTTCCTGCCTCAGCTTCTCAAAGTGCTGGGATTGTAGGCAAGAGCCACCACACCCAACCTGATGTATTTATTTTTATTTGTTTATTTTTAAGAGATGAGGTCTCACTATTTTGCCAGTCTGGTCTGAAACTCCTGGGTTCAAGTGATCCTCCTGCCTCAGCCTCTGAAAGTTGAGATTACAGCTGTGAGCCACTGTGCCTAGGCTCTGATATATTCTTAAATCCAAGAGTGTTGGGTCCTGTTTGACAAGAAAGAATAGATGATAAACATAATCTTTGCAGTAATGCCTGCCTTTCCCAAAGTTTATATCTTTTCTTTGACACAGTTACTACTTACTGAACTCAAAATAATTTTTACCATGAAGTTAGCCTAGAAAAACAGTGATTCCCATAGTAACTTGTAAGGTATGTTAAGCACTCCTTCCTGGCTACTCCTCAGCATAGGTAGGCATTTTCCAAAGTTAATTCCCAAGCTACCCTTGAGGACACACCTGTAATTAATAAGGCCTTTGTTTATCCAGTAGGCTTTGACTGCCTGATATGATGAACTTCTTTTGTGACTACTTTCTTTATTGCTTTATTTCATTTTATATTTTCTTCTTGAAATGGGGTTTCACTCTCACTCAGGCTGGAGTACAGTGGCGTGATCTTGGCTCACTGCAACCTCTGCTACCCAGGTTGAAGTGATTTTCCTGCCTCAGCCTCCAAGTAGCTGGGATTACAGGCACTCACCACCACCCCCAGCTAATTTTTTGTATTTTTAGTAGATGGGGTTTCACCATGTTGGCCAGGCTGGTCTCAAACTCCTAACCTCAGGTGATCTGCCCGCCTCAGCCTCCCAAAGTGCTAGATTGAGCCTGGCCCTATTGCTTTCATAGGTATTATTACTGTTAAATATAGCTAATAAAAATCATTTTCAAATTTGCCAATATTCTTTATTTTAATTATTGTAATCTGTAATGTCTTTTTTAAGACAAAGTATCACTCTGTCACCCAGGCTGGAGTGTGGTGTCACATTCTCGGCTCACTGCAACCACCACCTCCCGGGTTCAAGTGATCCTCATGCCTCAGCCTCCCAAGTAGCTGGGATTACAGGTGTCTGCCACCACCCCCAGCTAATTTTTGTATATTTAGTAGGTGGGGTTTCACCATATGGCCAGGCTGGTCTCGAACTCCTGACCCCAAATAATCTATCCACCTCAGACTCCCAAAGTTCTGGGATTACAGGCCTGAGCCACCCCACCTGGCCTGTTCTTTTTAATATTTCAACTAAAAGCAGTGGTAATAGATACGTTCTTGTTTGTTAACAATATATGTCATATACCGGGAATATGAATATTCTTTTAATCTCTACACAGAAAGCTGCCAAACCACTTACATCTATTCCTTGCAAACCATTGAAGCCCTCAGATGAAATGATTGAGACTACCAGTGATTTGGGGAAGACAGAGCTTTTCTGCTCTATTAATTGTTTCTCTGCATACAGTAAAGCTAAGATGGAACCTTCTTCAGGTAATGTTTGTTTAGCAATTTCATGGGTTTAGTAATTATTAATAAATGATATTACTTTGCTTTAATTTATAACCTTGATTAATTTTCAACTTAAACTGACTTTTAAAAGTCAAAACAATCTAAACTTGTTGAAAAGAACTATTCTTCAGTATTTTTGTATAAAAGTAAGGCTACTTAACCACCCAAGGTTTAATACTATTTGTAGGCCTGGCACAGTGGCTCACACCTGTAATCCCAGCACTTTGGGAGGCAAAGGCGGAGGCGGGTGGATCACCTGAGGTCAGGAGTTCAAGACCAGCCTGGCCAACATGGCGAAACCCCATCCCTACTAAAAATACAAAATATTATCTGGATATGGTGGTGGGTGCCTGTAATCCCAGCTACTTAGGGGGCTGAGGCAGGAGAATCACTTGAACCTGGGTGGTGGAGGTTGCAGTGCGCCGAGATCACACCATTGGACTCCAGTTTGGGCAACAGAGGGAGACTCTGTCTCAAAAATAATAATAATAAAATAAAAATGTAAAGATACATGTCTTTAGATTATTTGGATTCTTTAGTAAATGAACATACATAAGTTTACATCAATATATATTGCGCATTGGCTGGGCATAGTGATTCACTCCTTTAATCCCAGCACTTTGGGAGGCCAAGGCAAGCGGGTCACAAGATCAGGAGTTCAAGACCAGCCTGGCCAATATGGTGAAACCCCGTCCCTACTAAAAATACAAATAGCAGCTGGGCGTGGTGGTACATTCCTGTAATCCCAGCTACTCAGGAGGCTGAGGCAGGAGAATCACTTGAAACTGGAAGGTGGAGGCTGCAGTGAGCCAAGATCGGGCCACTGCATTCCAGCCTGAGCTACAGAGTGAGACTCGTCTCAAAAAGAAAAAAAATACATACATATATATATGGAAAGTGAGAGCACACCTATTGCAGAACATGGTACATAGGAGATACTCGGTCAACATAGAGTTTAATTAATATATTTACAAGACTGCTTCTATTAAGACATAGAATGTTTTACTTAACCCTGCTTTGTAAAAACGAGAATTTTCCTTTTTTTTTTTTTTTTTACATGAAATAGAGGTAATTGTAAATGCTTTAAGACTCACTAATAAAAAAGCACAAATAATCCAGCCAAATAAGTATTCCATCACAAAGCCTCATGTAGGACTAGTAGTGCTATTTACATAGACCATAGAGTGACTAATGCCTCTGGGATTTGTAAATCATGCAAACTGGCTTGTTACAGAAATGTCTGCAATAGTAGCTTGGACACCAACCTGGCACTCCATTGATGCTGAGGTTCATGAAACCTGGAAGACTTTGAAATTGATGCCCATTAGGAGATTCTATAGGAATCTCTTTTCTTCATGAGTAATATCACAGTAAAAATTTGCTCATAATTTTAAACAAATTGTTTAAAAGGACTAGGAACTTGTGCACAAAGGTTAAGACATAAAATGTTGGAGAAGTGTAAATTTCCAGTGTAGTATTGTAATTATAAATATGATACTAAAGAACCTGGCTATTCCTAAGCCCTAATAAAAATTACTTCAGCACCTACCAATTTCTTACGCTGTTAAATGCCTGCATTATTTCTTGAAACAGTGTTATTAAACAGTAGTATCTGATTGATTTTTTTCTTCTACTTTGTAAGAAATCTTTTTGTTTTTGTTTTTGTCAGTAAATGTTTCCACGGCACATGATACTTCAACAGAGCTTCTTTCTCCAAAGAAAGATGCAACTCCAGTTATTAGCAATATAGTGTCATTGGCAGACACTCATGTTGCCTTACCCATCATGAACACTGATGTCTTACAAGGTAAAAGTTGATGTTAATATATTTGATATAAATATTGTTTTGTCACACTTGATAAATCTCTATGCTAAATTTTCTTTTTCTTATATGAAATAAGCAATTACAGTTTATGATGCTATTTTACAGGATATAGTATAATACCTTGAATTTATGCTCTATTTTAACAGATACAGTTTCTTCAGTAACAGCAGATGTCATTGTGGATGTAAGTTTTATTTTAACTTTTTTTTTCCATTGTCTTTTTAATAAGCAGATTTTTTTTTTTTTTTTTTAAGATGGAGTCTCGAGGCTGGGCGCGGTGGCTGAAGCCTGTAATCCCAGCACTTTGGGAGGCCGAGGCGGGTGGATCACGAGGTCAAGAGATCGAGACCATCCTGGTCAACATGGTGAAACCCTGTCTCTACTAAAAATACAAAAAAAATTAGCTGGGCATGGTGGCACGTGCCTGTAACCTCAGCTACTCAGGAGGCTGAGGCAGGAGAATTGCCTGAACCCAGGAGGCAGAGGTTGCGGTGAGCTGAGATAGTGCCATTGCACTCCAGCCTGGGTAACAAAAGCGAAACTCCGCCTCAAAAAAACAAACAAACAAACAAACAAACAAAAAAAGAAGATGGAGTCTTGCTCTGCCGCCCAGGCTGGAGTGCAGTGATGCAATCTTGGCTCATTGCAACCTCCGCCTCCCGGGTTCAAATAATTCTCCTGCTTCAGCCTCTCTAGTAGCTGGGATTACAGGCGCCTGCCACCAGGCCCAGCTAATTTTTGTATTTTCAGTAGAGACGGGGTTTCCCCATGTTGGTCAGGCTGGTCTTGAACTGCTGACCTCAGGTGGTCCATCTGTCTTAGCCTCCCAGAGTGCTGGGATTTACAGGTGTGAGCCAACACACCAGGCCTAGATTTTATATATGTATATATATTGTGTGTGTGTGTGTGTGTGTGTAAATTGTTTAAACATAAGTAATTTTTTACTCTGGGCTCTTAAAAATTACTTCCAATGCAAAGGAAAAAAAAGAAAAGAAAAATTACTAAGCAATTTTAGTCGTCTGAGCAATAAAAATTATTTTTATGACAATTATATGCCAAAAGGTTCTTCAGACATTTAATGCTGAATCTAGATTGCAAATAAGTAAGTTATACGTCATTGTTCATGTTTCCTCCTAGTGGAGCTCATACTGTAACTCAGTCATTTATTTTACTGAGTAATTAGAGTAAATATATTTGGCATTTTAATTGATTTTTAAAAACTGTTAATAACAAGTGTTCTTTTCTCATTTTCTCCCAAAGCTTTCTAAGAGTTCACCTAGTAAATCCAGTAGTGGTACTGCTAGTAATAGTATGGAACAGCCAAGTCTTTCACCATCTTCATCAGTATTCAGTCAGCATGCAGTTGGTTCCAGTGTAGAAGTACAAAAAGATAAAGTATCAAACCAGGATCATGCATGTAATATGAAAATAAGTGATGAACCATGTCACCCAAAATGTACATCCAAAGTACAGAAAGTTAAAGGTAAATCACGAAGTATTAAAAAATCTTGTGCAGATTTTCAGTGTTTGGAAAACAGTAAAAAAGATGTGACATTCTGTTATTCATGCCAATTGTTCTGCCAAAAATATTTTAGCTGTGAAAGAGAGTCATTTGCAACCCACGGAACTTCAAATTGGAAAAAAACTCTGGAAAAATTCAGAAAGCATGAAAAAAGTGAAATGCATTTGAAGTCATTGGAATTTTGGAGAGAATACCAGTTTTGTGATGGAGCTATCAGTGATGATTTATCTGTTCATTCAAAACAGATTGAGGGAAATAAAAAGTACCTAAAGTTTATAATTGAAAATATTTTATTTCTTGGGAAGCAGTGCTTACCCTTAAGAGGAAATGATCTGTCTATTTCATCTGTGAATAAAGGCAATTTTTTAGAATTGTTAGAAATCAGAGCAAAAGATAAAGGAGAAGAAATATTTCGACTTATGAATTCACAAGTTGACTTCTATAATAGCACACAAGTTCAAAGTGATATTATTGAAATAATAAAGACTGAAATGTTGCAGGATATTGTGAATGAGATCAATGACTCCCCAGCGTTTTCAATAATATGTGATGAGACAACCGATAGTGCCATGAAAGAACAGCTTTCAATTTGTGTGAGATACCCACAAAAATCAGCAAACACAGTCTTAATTAAGGAAAGATTCTTAGGTTTTGTTGATACTGAGGAGATAACTGGGACCCATTTATATAGGACTATCATAACTTATCTGCAGCAGATTGGGGTTGATATGGATAAAATACATGGCCAGGCCTATGACAGCACCACTAATTTGAGGATAAAATTTAATAAAATTGCAGCAGAATTCAAGAAAGGAGAACCAAGAGCTTTATACATACATTGTTATGCCCACTTTTTGGATTTAGCAATAATTAGATTTTGTAAAGAAGTAAAAGAACTCCGAGGTGCTCTAAAAACTCTCAGTTCTTTGTTCAACACTATTCGTATGTCTGGGGAAATGTTGGCAAATTTTCGGAACATTTGTAGGCTAAGTCAAAACAAAACATGCAAGAAACATATATCACAATCATGTTGGACAGTCCATGATCATATATTACTATCTGTGATTGACAGTCTTCCAGAGATTATTGAAACATTGGAAGTTATAGCAAGCCATTCTTCAAATACAAGTTTTGCTGATGAATTGAGTGATTTGCTGACATTGGTTTCCAAATTTGAATTTGTCTTTTGTTTGAAATTTCTGTATCGAGTGCTAAGTGTTACAGGAATTCTTTCCAAAGAGCTTCAAAATAAAACCATAGACATTTTTTCCTTGTCTTCAAAAATAGAAGCAATTTTGGAATGTTTATCATCTGAAAGAAATGATGTATATTTTAAAACAATCTGGGATGGAGCAGAGGAGATATGTCAAAAAATAACCTGTAAAGGTTTTAAAGTTGAAAAACCTTCTCTTCAGAAAAGAAGAAAAATTCAGAAATCGGTAGATCTTGGCAATTCAGATAATATGTTTTTTCCTACTTCAACAGAAGAACAATATAAAATTAATATCTATTACCAAGGATTAGATACTGTATTACAAAATTTAAAATTATGTTTTTCAGAGTTTGATTATTGCAAAATAAAGCAAATTTCAGAACTGTTATTTAAATGGAATGAACCATTAAATGAAACAACAGCAAAACATGTTCAGGAATTTTATAAACTTGATGAGGACATTATACCAGAACTTAGATTTTATCGACATTATGCAAAACTCAACTTTGTCATAGATAATAATTGCATAAACTTCATCAGTCTTGGCTATTTGTTTATTCAGCATGGTCTTCACAATAATATTCCTTGCCTCTCAAAGCTATTATATATTGCTTTGTCTTGGCCAATTACTTCAGCAAGTACTGAAAACTCATTTTCTACCCTGCCTCGTCTCAAAACATATTTATGTAATACCATGGGACAAGAGAAGCTTACTGGCCCAGCCCTAATGGCTGTTGAGCAGGAATTGGTAAATAAACTAATGGAGCCTGAAAGACTCGATGAAATTGTGGAAAAGTTTATCAGTCAGATGAAAGAAATATAATACTGGCTCATTTGAACTTAAACTAAGAGACTTGTATTTCTGTTGGAATGTTTTTATTTCAAAATTGTTCAAAATTCAAAAACCATAGAATGATATACAGTGAAGTCTCCTTCCCTCCTTTGGAACTCATTTTCTCTTCCTGAAAAGTGTTATCTGTTCCTTTTCCTAAGTGATATTATATAGTGTACACTGTTCTTCAGCATGTCTTTTCCATGTAACATTTTTGAGATTGTCTCATGTCATTACATGAAGAGTTTATTGATTCTTTGTCTATAACTGCAGATTTGGTATGAAAAATGTAGAGTCTACTGTAATATATTTGAGCAGTCCCTACTGACATTTTTTTTTCTAACCTTTGCTATTATAAATAATGATTCATTTTATAACCTTGTATGTGGGTCATATTGCACCATGAGTAAGTTACTCTATGCTGTAAATATAAAATTAGAATTACTGGGTCAAGATATGTGCATTTTTACTTTTGATAGATATTGGCAAGTTGCCATCTATAAGGATCGAGCCAGTTTGCAGCCCCACCCACAATGCATGAGAGTGCCTATTAAATCTTTATCAGTGTTATCAAATCTTTTGATCTTTCCCAATCTGTTAGTTTAAAAATGGCATTTTAATCCCAGTGGAATTTTTTATGTTCACTTAATAAGGTGGGGGACTGGGTGTGGTGGCTCACACTTACAGTCTTAGCTCTTCGAGGGCCTACACAGAAAGGAAGGTCACTTGAGGCCACGAGTTCAAGATCAGACTGGCAACATATTAAGACCCCATCACTACAATTTTTTTTTTTAATTAGCAAGGTGTGGTGGTGCAAAGCTGAAGTCCCAGCTACTTGGGATGCTGAGGCAAGAGTATTGCTGAAGCCCAGAAATTCAAGGCTGCATGAGCCATGATCTCGCCACTATGCTCCAGAGCCTAGGCAACAGAGTGAGACCTTATCTCTAAAATAAACAAAAATAGAGTTAGATATCTTTCTTTGAGCCATATGTATTTACTTTTTTGTAAACTGTCCTGTTTAAACATTAAAATCATTGCTGTGTTTTTGGTTTATACATCTCAGCTGGATGGCACAACTATCAGGCTACTTTATGTCTGTCTCCTTTGTTCAGGTGTGCTTTCATGGCAAGACTGTCAGGGAGTTGCACCCTTCCTGCAGAAAGTAAACTAGCCTTGCTGAGTGAAAAAAAAAAAAAAGTTAGGTTTATCACCAAGATGTACTTTATAGCCTAGGCTATGGTGTATCTAAGTTAATTTTTCTTCTGCTCTTAAAAATAATGTGTGTTCTGCTCTTCAGTGGAGTAGTCTATAAATATCAATTAGGCCAGCATGGTGGTTCATGCCTGTAATCCCCATGCTTTGGGAAGCTGAGGCTGGAAAAATAACTTGAGGCTAGGAGTTCAAGACCAGCCTGAGCAATATAGTGAGACCCTGTCTCTACCAAAAAACAAACAAGAAAACAAACTTGGCATGGTGGCATGTACTTGTAGTCCTAGCTACTTGGCAGGCTGAGCTGGGAGGATCACTTGAGCCCAGGAGTTTGAGGTTACAGTGAGCTATAATCATACCATTGAACTCCAGCCTGGGTGACAGTGGAAGAATCAGTCTCTAGAATATATACATATATAATTTTTTGAGACAGAGTCTTGCTCTGTCACTCAGGCTGGAGTGCAATAGCACAATCTTGGCTCACTGCAGCCTCTGCCACCTGGATTCAAGTGATTCTCCTGCCTTAGCCTACAGAGTAGCTGAGATTACAGGTGCCATCACCATGCCCAGCCAATTTTTGTATTTTTAGTAGAGATGGGGTTTTACTATGTTGGCCACACTGGTCTCAAACTCCTGACATCAGGTGATCCGCTGCCTCAGTTTTTTAAAGTGCTGGGATTACAGGCGTGAGCCACTGTACCCAGCCCCCAAAAAAGTTATAAATATTAACTAGGTAGTGTTCAATTTTCTTATTTCTTGCTTATTTTCTCAATAATTGCATAATGATTATGAAAGGATACTGAAATCTCCAATCTTTTTTTTTTTTTTTTTTTTTTTTTTGAGGAGGAAGAGGAGGAGTTTTGCTCGTTACTCAGGCTGGAGTGCAATGGTGCAATCTCAGCTCACCGCAACCTCTGCCTCCTGGTTTCAGGCAATTCTCCTGCTTCAGCCTCCTGAGTAGCTGGGATTACAGGCACGCGCCACCATGCCCAGCTGATTTTTTGTATTTTTAGTAGAGACGGGGTTTCACCATGTTGACCAGGATAGTCTCGATCTCTTGACCTTTGTGATCCACCCGCCTCAGCCTCCCAAAGTGCTGGGATTACAGGCTTGAGCCACCACGCCCGGCTGAAATCTCCAATCTTAATTATGAATTTCTCTATTTTTTCTGCCGTTCTAGCAGTTTGGCTTTGTGTATTTTGAATCTTTATTATTAAGTGTGCAATGTTTAGAACAGGTATGTCTTTTTTTTCTTTTTAAGACAGATTTTCACCATATTAGTCAGGCTGGTCTCAAACTCCTGACCTCAGGTGATCCACCCACCTTGGCCTCCCAAAAATGCTGATATTACAGGCATGAGCCACCATGCCCAGCCCGGGTATGTCTTTTTTTTTTTTTTTTTTTTTTTTTTTTTTTTTGAGACGGAGTTTCGCTCTTGTTACCCAGGCTGGAGTGCAATGGCGCGATCTCGGCTCACCGCAGCCTCCGCCTCCTGGGTTCAGGCAATTCTGCCTCAGCCTCCTGAGTAACTGGGATTATAGGCACGCGCCACAATGCCCAGCTAATTTTTTGTATTTTTAGTAGAGACGGGGTTTCACCATGTTGACCAGGTTGGTCTCGATCTCTTTGACCTTGTGATCCACCCGCCTCGGCCTCCCAAAGTGCTGGGATTACAGGCTTGAGCCACCGCGCCCAGCTCGCCCGGGTATGTCTTTAGTTTGTTTTTATTTTTTGAGACAGTCTCGCTCTTGTTGCCCAGGCTGGAGTGCAGTGGCAATGATCTTGGCCCACAGCAACCTCTGCCTCCCAGGTTCAAGTGATTCTCCTGCCTCAGCCTCCCAAGTAGCTGGGATTCAGGCACCCGCCACTATGCCTGGCTAATTTTTGTATTTTTAATAGAGATGGGGTTTCACCACGTTGTCCAGGCTGGTCTTAAATTACTAGCCTCAGGTGATCTGCCTGCCTTGGTCTCCCACAGTGCTGGGATTACAGGTGTGAACCATCACGCCTGGCCTTGGAACAGGTTATGTCTTTAGGTTGAATTGTGTCCCCTAGAAAGATGTTGAAGAGCCTGGCATGGTGGCTCACACCTATAATCTCAGTTACTCAGGAAGCTGAGGCAGGAGGATTGCTTGAAGCCAAGTTCAAGACCAACCTGGGCAACATAGCGAGACCCCCATCTCTAAAAAATAAAATTTAAAAAAAGATACTGAAGTCCTAACCCCTCGTACTTGCTAATGTGACTTTATCTGGAAATAAGATATCTGCAGATATAATCAAGTTAAGATGAAGTTATTAGGGTGAGCTCTAATCCAATATGACTGGTCACTTTATAAGAAGAGACAAAGACAAACAGGAAGAATGTCATGTGATGATGGAGGCAGAGATGGAGTGATGTGCCTGCAAGCCAAGGGTTGCTGGTGAGATAGGCCTCTTGATGAAAGTGGCTTATTTATCCCAGGTAACAGTCTTTACTCTGAAATCTACTGTTTTCTACTGACATAGTCATGCCAGTTTTCTCTTTATTACTCTTCTTATGGTCTATCTTACTCCATTATTTTCCTTTTTTTTTTTTTTTTTAAAGACAGAGTCTCATTTTGTTGCCTAGGCTAGAGTGCAGTGGCATGATCACGGCTCTCTGCAGCCTCAACCTCCACCTGCCAAATAGCTGGGACTACAGGTATATGCCACCATGCCTGGCTAATTTTTGTATTTTTTGCAGAGATGGGGTTTTTTTTTACTCTGAAATCTACTGTTTTGTACTGACATAGTCATGCCAGTTTTCTCTTTATTACTCTTCCTTCTTATGGTCTATCTTACTCCATTATTTTCCTTTTTTTTTTTTTTTTTTTTCTTTTAAGACAGTCTCATTTTATTGCCTAGGCTAGAGTGCAGTGGCATGATCACAGCTCTCTGCAGCCTCCACCTCCACCTGCCACATAGCTGGGACTACAATTATATGCCACCATGCCTGGCTAATTTTTGTATTTTTTGCAGAGATGGGGTTTTGCCATGTTGCCAGTTTGGTCTTGAGCTCCTGGGCTCAAGTGATCTGCCCACCTTGGCCTCCCAAAGTTCTGAGATTACATAAGCCACTGTATCCTGCCAATTTTACTTTTACCTTTTTTTTTTTTTTTTGAAACAGAGTCTCACTCTGTTTTCCAAGCTGGAGTACAGTGGCACAATCTCAGCTCACTGTAACCTCTGCCAGGCTGGTCTTGGACTCCTGACCTCAGGTGATTCATCTGGCTGCTTTTTAAAAAAAGAAAATGGGCCGGGCATGGTGGCTCATACCTATAATCCCAGCACTTTGGGAGGCCAAGGCAGGCAGATGACAAAGTCAGGAGATTGAGACCACCCTGGCTAACATGGTGAAACCCCGTCTCTACTAAAAATACAAAATACTACCTGGGCATGGTGGCATGCACCTGTAGTCTGAAGCAGGAGAATCGCTTGAACCTGGGAGGCAGAGGTTGCAGTGAACCAAGATCATACCACTACACTCCAGCCTTGGCGACAGAGCAAGACTCCATGTCAAAAAAAAAAAAAAAAAAAGTTGCTTCTTTTCACAATATGTAAAAGAAGTGAAATGCCCTGGAGAAGTAGATGCTTCAGATCTCCCTGTCCACTGGCTCCAGAGCCTGAGGAAGTTCTTTGTTTCAATCTCAGCTCTTTCTGTTTGTTGCCTATGATTTCTTACCATTTAGTCCTCCAAGGAAGCTATATCCCCTTTTCTTTGTTTAATATCCTTTTAGAGATAAAATGAGAATTTCATTCCCCCTAATCGTCTTTTGGAGACAGTCTTGCTTCATCACCCAGGCTGGAGTGCAGTGGTGCAATCTTGGCTTGTTGTAACATCTGCCTCCCAGGCTCAAGCAATTTTCATGCCTCCACCTCCCAAGAAGCTTGGACTAAAACTGTGACTACAGGTTCACACCACAATACCTGGCTAATTTTTGTATTTTTAATAAAGACAGGGTTTTGCCATGTTGCCCAGGCTGGTCTTGAACTCCTGATCTCAAGTTATCCACTCTCCTAGATTTCCCAAAATGCTGGGATTACAGGAATGAGCTACTGCACCTGGCCAAAAAGCTCAGTTTTAGAAGGTTGTGAAATCTCATGTCCTATGAGGAGAAAACAGGAGGAAGGGGAAAAACAACAAAAAGAACAATTCTGGAAAATCAATATAGGCCACATTACTCTGAAGTCCATACTTTAGTAGGCAGGTATGAAAGTAGGTTATCTATTTAAATAGGTTGCTGTAACTTTCTTCTGAAATTTAAGTTGTCTAGCTTCAGTTTGCAGGGCCTTAAGAAAGAATAGCATAGGCCAGGCACAGTGGCTCATACCTGTAATCTCAGCACTT